GTGCTCCAAATTTCTTTCCCTTTGGGGTCCGTATATATGTGGCACCTGGAATCGTTACCTTTATCCCCAAATGGTGGACTTGAAGTGGCTTACGGATCATTGGGATGAAACTTCTAACATAAAGAGGGCAAGGAATGTAACAAAGTAGCAGCTGCCAGTAGTAGGTAACATTAGATATGTAAATCTCCAGATAGATAGATAGATAGATAGATAGATAGATAGATAATTGATAGATAGATGGATAGATGGATGGATGATGGATAGATAGATAGATGATAGATAGATGATAAATAGAAGATAGATAGATAGATAGATAGATAGATAGATAGATAGATAGATAGATAGATAGATAGATCTGGGTGGATAAAAAGCTATCTATCTGTCTGTCTATCTATTGAAAGAGAGAGAGGGAGGGAAGAAGGAAGGGAGAGAGTGAGTGAGAGAAAGAAAGAGAGAGAGATTACTCTAGAGTATGCATTGCACCCAGCATTTTACCTACATGAACTTATTTAATCCTTCCAACAATAACTCTATGAGGTTGAAATTCTTATCATCATTATTATCATCACCCCCATTTTACAGATGAGGAAACCAAGGAGCAAAGTTAAGTCATTTGCTCTGGAAGCTATAGATGCAGGATTGGAACTCAGGCACTCTGGCACTGGGTGCCAAACTCATAACCCATAGTCTTCTCTACTTCTTGACATCAGGTCTGGATTTCAACCTCCAGCTCCCAGCTCCCAACTCCCTGTCCATGTCCAAAGATCCTGACAGCCTTTTTTTTTTTTCCCCCTTGGGGCTGGCCTTCTTCCAGGCAATGTCCCACTGTGGTGATTCTGTGATGCTGTCATTCCCATGTTATTTGTGTTTACTCATGGATAGGTTCAGAGTGGTGAAGCGCCCCCAGTCCTGAGTGCCTGAGCCATGATGCTTCAAACCCTACATGGCTCCAGAGGGTCTGGCACTGTGCAGGCTCAGTCCTGGGCGAGGGGATACTGTGAAGTTTAAGGCTCTGCCTTGCTAGAGTTCAAAGTTCAGCACTTCACGGTCCCAACCCTGGACACTCCTGAGGAGTGGGACCCTAGTAGGCAGCAGGAGGGCACTGCTGTGGGCAGCTGGCCTCAGTCCTGTCCCCAAAGTTTGGGCCAGCCAGCTCTCTGCCTGGCATGGAGCTACCAGTACCTGCCAAGAGCCTGGTAACTGCCCAGTGCCCTGACAAAAATGCCAGCTGCAGCCCAGCAGGGAGCTGGGGCAGGGGGAAGGGGACAGTGGTGGTAGAGACAGTGTCCTGAAAATTCCTACCCCTGGGTCCCGGAAAACAGACCATTTCTCTTTCTTTCCTTTCCTACACGAAGAGGGCAAGTTGTGGGGCAGTAGGAGAAAAGTTACCTTGTGTATGCCTGGAAATCATTTCCCAGCTCAAAAATTAACCACCTGACATGGCATTTTTTCTCTCTCTCTCCACCCTCCTCTCACCCCTGCGTGTTTTGCTTGCAGGCGTTAATCCCCGTGGTCATGTATTGGCTAAGCTTGAGAAGCTGGGATTTCTTTGGCAGAGTGGGGGGGATTATAAACCTTCCTCTAAGAAAGCCAGACTTTGGAGAGTATGTCTAGGTTGGGCGGGTGTGAGCAGGGCTGAGTTGGGGACCAAGGCTAGGACTAGGGTGGGCCACATGAAGCATTTGGAGAGCAAGATTGAAGGAGGAGCTCACTCAGGGTCGTGCATGAGCCTCGCCCAGGTGGCAGCCCTGCTCCCAACTCCTGCTGCCTGATAAAGCCCAGGGCACAATGGCCTTTCAATGAACTAAGAGAAAGCATGGCCTTAACTTACACAGTCTACCTCTGACTCACTGTGTGACCTCAGGGAAGCCACTTTCCTTTTCGGGACAACCATGTCCTCCATTGTAAGGACTAAAAGTTAGATTAGAGCAGGATTTCTCCACTTTATTCAGCACTGTGGACATTGACCCTATTGGAACAAATAATTCTTTACTGTAGGAGGTTGTTCTGGACACTGCAGGATGTTTAGCAGCATCCCTGCTCTGTACTCACTAGATACCAGGAGCACCCTCCACCAGTCATGACAATAAAACATGTCCCCTGGGGGACAAAATCACCCCCCATCAAGAACCATTGGATTAAATGATCTCAGCTTCATTCTGACTCTCATATTTTAAGATTTAAGAACAATATTTTTGAAGGCCAGCTTTATGAAATTGATCTAATTGTATTATTAATAATAATGTTATTAATACAATATAACAATATATCATATTTATTGAGCTACTGTATGTATCAATCACTGAGTCAGTGGTTACCTTATATTAATAACTGTCTCTCCAAGGGAGGTGCTATGATCATATGTCTGCGGCACACAAGGAAACTGAAGGTGAAGAGAATTAATAGGCCCAGGATCAACAGCACTTTCTGATCACAGAATTTCTAGGTGGGAGGCACTTATGGTTTACGTTAGTAGAACAAAGACGTTTTTATTCCATTCACCTTTCTGAAGCAGTCTGAAAACAGCCACAAAAGCAACAAAAGGAGACGCATATGCCATCTTTGATGAAAGAAGGAAAGACCACAATCCCACCTCACCAGCATATGAAGAAGAGCTGACAATGGCAGGAAACTTTGACCAAATTGCAGAAGGAAATCAAGAGCAGTGCATGCTTCTGCAGATCATGGGCAGGACAAGGAGTTCTCCTGAAGTGTTTTTGAACTCTGACACTTCCTAATACTGGCAAAGCCTGGAGCATGCATGTGGGAGAAGGGAGAGTTCCTGAGATGTATGTGACAGCACAGCATTCAGATGAACTGATTGAGGAGGCTCCAAGACCCTTGTCAAGAAGTGGGATGTTGGAATGGCACGTGGGAGAGAGATTGCATATAGTGATCACCTATATGGCTGTAAAGTTTCTAGTTTTCTCTCTCAGTCAGTCAAAGAGACATAAATGCTAAAGAGACACCAAAGAACTGTGACCTTCTTGGGACTTCACACTGAGTAAGGGGCTCCAGCTTGCTTAGAGGAGAGGCATGTTCTGGGTCCATGTTGGTGATAAAGCATTCTGAGATAGTCAACAGAGCCAATGTTTGGATACCTGTGGGCCAGCTCCTTTCCCCACACTTTCTTCCAACAAAGAACTGGTCTTAAAAGAATGACTCCAATTCTGTAATAAGGAGCCAACATGAGATCTGCCAAAAAGAGAGCACGAGAAATAAAAAGCAAAGAAACATAAAATAGAAAGGATAAAAAAGAATAAATACTAGAAGATTTGTTGTATAAAGTGGGAGAAACTATTGGACAGATGTTTTTCTGTGAAATATATACTTAAAAAAAATGCCTGCCTAAAACAAATCTCAAAATAAGAAACAAAAAGGGCAAAGAAGAGATATTAAGAAGCAGAGGGGGGTGAAAAAACAGCACTCAGGAAGTAAGTGGAAGAGAAAAGTAAAGCTATTGTCTTATAAATGCTGTATCAGAGCAAAATGGGGAAATATTAAAAACATAATCAGAGACATGATATGTAGGCTAAAAAGACTGAACAAAATGAAGTGGAAAAGAAAAGTAAGAAAAGACGAATGGAAAACAATCAATATGAAAGACAAAGGAAAACCAACATCAGCATAATTGGTGATACTGAAGAAGAAAATAAAACAGAAAACAATGTTGGGATCTTTAGTAGAAGAACATTTCTCCAAAACAAAACTAAAACATATGCAGGTTGAAAGAGCTTACTGTTTTCCAGAAAAAGCTTATGGACACTCATCAAGACAAATTGTAGTAACATTAATGGACTTGAAACTTAATAGTAAAAACCTTATGGATATCCAGGCAAAAACTTCAAGTGAGCTGTAAGGGGTGGGAGAAATCAGGCTGGACTCAAATTTCTGCAATAATTAAATATCTACTAATTCTCAGAGAAAGAACATGTAACCCAATAATTTTACAGATATATCACTTTTGTATTCAGAGGATGCCTTCTTTTTTTAAAAAAAAATGTGCATACTTATTGTTGAAGTTTGGAAAATAGAGCATATAAGAAAGAAATCCAGATTTATTCATAATCTCATCCCTAAGATAGAAATGTCAATCACACACTTCAAAATGCTTTCACAGACATTTGTCCTATGGAATCCTCTGTGATGTAGACATCCCAATATTATTATTCCCAATTAGAAGATGAACAAATTTAGGCTCAGAGTGTTCAGTGATTTGCTGTAAGAATTCAGCAGCAGAACCACCTACGCCCAGGCTTCCTGGCCCTTGGGCCTGAGTTCTCTAGAACACCTCTGTCCTATAGAACTTTCTTTGATGATGGAGATGTTCCATATCTGCTCTGTCCAGAATGGCAGCCCCTAGTCCCATGTGGCTGTTGAGCACTTGAAATGTGGCTAGTGTTACTAAGAAACTGGAATTTTAAATTTCGTTTGATTTTAATGAACTTGAACTTAAATTCCACATGTGGCCCAGGGCTTCACTGTTTAGACAGGCCAGCACTAGAGAGTTCCTTGGCACTCTTTCCCCTTCAAAGGCAGCTGACCACTTTCCTTTTCAGCCATCCTCCCAACCTCATCCATATCAAGTTCACCCAGAATCTGGCCTCTGGGGTCAGCCTTGATCATTAGGACTAGGCTCCTTCCCTGTGGCACCTGTCTTTTCCAGGTGCAGACTCTGTTAGGCCTTGCTGTCAGTTTCTTCAGCCCTAGAGATTGTAGCTGAGTCTCACTGGCTTCTGAAGGCAGAGGAATAGGCTGGAAGTTGAGCAATGTGTTACCCGAAGCTGCTACTCCTTCTTTCCTGGGCCCGCTCAGCAAGATTCTCCCTCCCAAAATGCAGCCACTGGACAGAAACAAGTGGCAAGAAGGCAAACTGCTCACTCTGAGTTGACCCAGAAAATGAGTCTGCAAAATCAGACACCTCTCCCAACCTCTGAACTCCAGAAGTTAAAATTAAAAGGAACAGTGCCTCGGGATCATGTGGCCCCACACTCCTTCCTACCTGAATCTGCCCTTGAGGACCCAAGGGAAGCCTCTATTTTGCAGACACGCAGACTGAACCTCAGTGTGGCCATGTGGCTGGTGTGAGTTTATGAAACAGGAAGCCCAGAGGCAGAGGTTGACTGGAGTTGCTGTTGGGTGGAGTAAAATCATGGATCCACCTGGACTCCCCTCTACAGTTCCACTGTTTCAAATGTATCCGGGGCTGGGAGTGATGAGATCTACTCTTAGGCTCTGCATGGTCCTGAAGACACCACACCTCCTCTCCAGACCTCAGTTTATATCTGTAAAATGGAGCAGGGATTTTCAGTACAGAGTTCGGCGATCCCTACTAATCTGTCAACATCTTGACATTATATTCAGTATTGTACATGTGTGGGCACATACACACTATGTGGGGTTTTCATTAATTACCACAGGGGTCCATCCTTCTACCAATTCAAATCACTTAGATGAGAGGTCATAAATTGGTGACTATGGGTTGAATACCACCTGCAGATGTAGTTTTTTTTTTTTTTAATTGGCCCACAGTTTCCTTTTAATGAGAAAATCTTTTAAAACTGTGAGATTTCACATAGAAGCAAAATTTCAAGCTTCTCTTGAAACATCAGGAGAGCTGGCATCACAGGACGCGCATTCCTGTATCACAACAATCAGGGGAGCTGAGCAGCAGTTGTTGTCCTCGTGGTGGGGGGTCCCTGTGTTCCCCACTTCACCACAGTCCCCACCCCTCCCTATTGCACTCATGACACCGAAGTCCAATGCCAGCTGTAAGTTACCATTAAGCTTGGGCACTTTTATCCCCTGCTAAAATAACAGTATTCTGTCTCCACAGCACTGTTGGAAGTGCAAATCAGACTTGAGAAAACGTGACTTTGATTACACCAGCCCACATTACCCATTAAATTGTCCCCTGCATATGAGTTTGAAATGCTGGACTTTGTATCATTTATTCATTCTTTTAACAAATACCTGTTGAGGCACTGAGGATAGAGGTGAACAAAGATAGAGAAGGCCCTGTTTGCATGGTGCTCACGATCTGCAGGGAGGAGAAAGAGAGAGATAATAAGTGAATGAACAAAAAAATAAACTCCAGCCAGTGATAAGTGGCTCCACAAGAATGGAGCCAGATAATGTACAGCAGACCACAATGAGCAGTGTGATCAGAGGTGGACTCCCTGGAGGGGAGACCTTTGAAGTGAGGGCTGAACAGCAAGGAGCCAGCCAGCCAGAGATAGAAAGGGGGTGGGGGGGTCAAGAGGGCCAGGTAGAGGGAAGAGCAGGTGCAAAGACCTGGACGTGGGAACAGTCCTGGCCTGCTTGTTCTGAGAGCCCACCACTTAGCATTTTACAGGCCTCAGTGCTCTAGTCCCTGCCTCCAAGTCCCCTGGAAGATTTTTGCTCTCTGGAAGTTAGTTTTGTTCTTAAGGCCTGGCAGAGTGAGAAGGTGGGGGGATGAGGGGCAGCAGCACTTCTTACTAATTCTCCACCAGATGTCTGGCATACAGCTGGCAAATCTGAATCCATTTGCCCACAGGAAGTTCAGCTGAGGCAAGGGAGGCATTCGGGGTCACTCTGGCTCTGCTCCAGTCCCTCTCCAGCAAGGTAATAAAACACACTCTTGACCCACTTGCTGCCAAAGCCCCAAGTGGGCCAAAGATTGACTTCCCAACTCCTGCCATTTCCCTTGGGTCACCTCTCCAGCTGACATGTGCTGTATCTGGAGTCATTCCTTCACAGAGGGCTGAGTTGACATCCTGACAGGAGCATCCAGAGACAGAGAGAGGAGAAAGAGGGAGGGAGAGAAAGAAAGGGGTGGGAGAGAGGAAGAAAAGAGAGGGAGGGGGAGAGAGAGAAAGGGAGGAGGCAGGAGAGAGAGAAAGGGAGGAGAGAGAGAGGAAGGAAAGAAAGGGAGGGGGAGGGACAGAGAGGAAGGACAGAGGGAGTGAGAGGAAGGAGGGAGGGAGGAGAGAGAAAAAGAAAGGAGAGAGAGAGAGAGAATACAGCTTTGAAAAGCAACCCTTGCAGCCAGAAATTAAACAACAACCTTTCCTCCCATTTATGTCATGTACAGAATGAATACATCTGAATACATTGCACAAGAGGACTCACAGAATGTCACCTCCAAAGCAGATGTATGCTAGTGTTCACAACAACTTTTTCCATAATAGCCTGAAACTGGAAATAATCCAAATGTCCACCAGCAGGAAAATGTACAAATAAATTCCCATCTATTCACAGAATGGAATACTACTCAGCAGTAAAAAAGAATAGGCTACTGACACACACAACTGCGTGGAGGAATCTCACAGGCATTATGCTGAGCAAAACAGCCACACATACTTCAAGCTCATTCTTGTTGGTAAAATTAAAATTAAAATTAAAAAATAGCCAGAGACAGAGAAGTACATCCTGTATGATTCCATTATGTCCTAGAACAGGCAAAAACCAATCTATAGTGATAGAAATTGCAGCACTATTTTGCAGGGGATGTGGGAATTGACCTGAAAGGGGCATGCAGGAACTTTCTGGGAAGATGTAAATGTCCTATATCTTGATTGGGATGGTGGCTATATGAATATGACCATTTGTCAGAACTTTTATTTTATGTAAATTATAGCTCAATGAAGCTCTTTTTTTGAAGTCATGTTTATTTTTCTCTCCAGATAGTGCTCTAAAATATTTTCAGTTCTTTTCCTATTACTTGGACAAAAACCCCTGCAGACACATGCCATTTCCTATCACTCTTGAGATGTAATTAAAATCCTCCAATTACTTTAATACACAAACATGGTCTCAATTCAGAAATTAGAATGGTCAGTTCCAGGTGATCATCAAAACGTGGAACTTGATTTGAAGTGAAATCCTTTCCCCTTCCCTTCCTGGGGGTTCTACAGGCTGGAAGCTGGGAAACAAAGAGGAAAGAGAGATCATTGTCTCCTGAGTTCCTCTTTACGGTTGCACCTCTTCTTCCTTATTTTCTTAAGCAAGGTTTGTGACAGCCACAGTGAAAGAAGCCAGGGGGCAGGAAGAGGCAAGGAGCCTGGCAGGTGCATGACTCCTGCCCCTCAGCTTCCCTTTACAGCAGACACTTCTCTTGTGAGTCTTACGGGGTTGGGAGACTAGAGGGTCTCCCCTTTCTCAGAACACTTCACAGCCCTTCCGTTGGGCTTTTCCCCCTGGCTTCTACCCCTCTAATTCCTGGTTTCCTATACATGGGAACTCCCTCAGGGGTCCTATATCACTTAGAAGTGGACCTCTTAGGCAGGATTTTAAAGAGGCCCTGGGCTGAAATTCTCACTTCATAACCACATCTGGTCTTTAGAAATACTTGAGCTTTCCCTCCTCACATCTTTGGAATGTTGGCCCAGCTAGGATTGAAGGATAAAATACAGGGTTCTAAGTTCACTTTGAATTTCAGATGAACAAGGAGTCATTTTTAAACTATAAGTATATCCCAAATAGTGCATGGGATATACTTATGCTAAACAATTATTTGCTGCTATCCATCCTAATACTGATTGGATATTTGAGAACAGCTTGTCTAGGTCTCACCATCTCCCCCTTGTGTAACAGCATAATGTTATGAGCAGCTTGCCTTGTGTCTGCCCAGCAGGCTGTCTACTACTTTCATCTCTGTGACCCTGGCCAGGTTACTTATTCATGCTGTGCTTCAGTTGCATTATCTGCTAAATGGAGATAATCATGGAACCTACTTCATAGGGCTGTTGTGACAATCACAATTAAACTGAGATAATACACAGGTACAGTTGTTTGGGCAGTGTCTGCCACATAGCAAATTCTCAACAGGTATTTACTGTTATTAGTATTATTATGGTGATAGTGATTGTTGTTGCTATTGCATGAAGAGAGGAAGAACTAGGTCCTCGAGATAGGCTATTTTCTGGAGAAAGGAGCCAGAACTAGAAGGATGGAGTTCCTGTGAATGAGGAATTGGGAGGGAACAGGATGGTTATTATGAGCATGCCTTGTGGGAGACAGTGAGGCAGAGATGGGGAGTGATGGAGGGGCAGGGATGGCAAGGACAAGCCAGGAGGCTTGAGAGAGGTTCTCTTGGTTTAGGAATGTGAGAGATTTTCAGGCATGCTAGAGAATACAGAGGATGTGGGCATTTGACAAGAACACCCACAGGTTGTGCAGAAATACATAGTGATAAAGAGAAAACTCTGGTCAGACCACCTGGGTTCAAATCCTGACTGCCTCAGCAGCTGTGGGCAAGTTACCTGACTTTTCCTGTCTGCTTCAGTTGTCCCATCAGTAAAACAGAGCTAATAATATCTGTCTCAAAGGATTGTTGTGAAAATAAAATGAGTTGATAAGTGCAATTACTTGGAAATTAATTGCTTGCTAATTAATTGCTAGTGATTATTATACTTTGAGTCCCTTAAATGTTTAAGAGAGAAGAGTTTAAAAATTAGAATTCCTGTTTAGACTATGCAGTTTGTAAACTGCAACACTACCCTGGGACTGAATTACCTGGGACACAGTGTTATGCATGACCTAAATCGATGTCTTTTTATAATTTCCCCCAAAACAGAGAGGGAAAGTAATAGTACCTTCCTGAATCTAGGTGTGTCAGTGTATGCCTGTCATCCCAGCTACTTGGGAGGCTGAGATGGGAGGTTCACTTGAGCCCAGGAATTCAAGACCAGCCTGGGCAACACAGTGAGACCTTGGTTCAAAAAAAAAAAAAGAAAGAAAGAAAAGAAAAGAAAAAGAAAAAGAGAAAAAGAAAGGAAAAAAGAAAGAAAAGAAAAGAAAAAAAAATATGCCTCCCTGAAAAGATTGTTAGGGGCATTAAATGAGATAATACATAGAAGATGCCTGAAACTTAGAGAATACTCAAAACATGTTGGTGGTTGTGATTGTCATTATACTGTAGTTATTCTTCTGCATAGAGATGTGAAGCTGCATAGAAAAGGAAACTCTCACTAGAGCTCCTCAGAATTGAAATTTTCCAGGTGACTGCATGTCACTGTTCTCAACCATTATATTCCATTTTCTTTTCTTTTAATGCCCTTGTCAGGATCACCCAGGTAACAGGGTTATCCTGTCCTCATAAAGTGAATTGGGAAGTGTTCCCTTTTTCTCTGCTCTCTGAAAGAGTTCGTGCAAAATGGTATTATTTATTCCTTCAGTGTTTGGTAGAATTACCATTGAAGCCAGAAGGGCTTGGAGCTTTTTTGTGGGGAGGTTTTTAATGATTGATTCAGTTTCTTCAATAGACACCGAAATATTCAGCTTTTAAATTTCTTTTTCTGGTAGTTGAGAAAGGTATGTTTTATCAGGAAGTTTCTCTGGTTACTTGAAATTATCAAAGTGCTTGGTAAAAAGTTGTTCAAACTATCCCTTTTATATCCCTTTGATATTGTAAGATCTGAGTCATGTCTTTTTAAAATTCTTGTCATCTATTAAGTTCTGACCTTAGAGTGTCCTTAGCAGGGAAACTATATTGCCTTCTTAAATTTGTAACTTTGGTGCTACTCATGAGTATCTCACACACACACAAACACACACACACGCACACACCACACACCAATTCCGGTTGAGTTAGAGGAGTAAATTTGCAAGGATCCCCTACTGCTCCGGAAATCCGCCCTCATATTTTAAAGTACAATAGGCAAATGAATGCTCAAGTGCCTGCTGGACAAAGGGGAGGCTCTGACCTTAGGAATCTGCAAAAGCTTTTATTCTCTAAGATTTAGTTTAAATAGCTCTTCCTAAGAGAAATGTTCCCTGCTATCTTTCTTTGTCCTCTAAGCTAAGTTAATTACTTTCCCCTAGGTGTCCCTAGCTTACTGAGAACCACATGTTGGTCCCAGTGTAGTTATTTGACCCGGCATCCACCTGCCTGATCCCTATACTCTGAACAACTCGAGGGCAGATGTTCCCTTACTCATCTCTACCTCCTGAACTTTCAGCATGGTGGCCAGCAAAGAGTCAGGGTCACGGTGGCCAGCAAAGAGTCAGGGTCACAATCCATTTATTCTTTCACTCATTCCACACTCTCTGATACCAGTTCCCTCAATGTGTTGGGGACTGTGCCAAGTGCTGGGGACACAGAAGTGAACAAGACAAAAGAAATGGGGTCCCTCTTCTCAGGGAACTTTCTTAGTAGTTGAGGAGACAGAGTCAGTAAATCATACTGAATGGATGAACCTTTGCAGGTTACAATTTGGCAGCATTTACCACCTTATTTTCCATGGAGCGTAAGTTGTGGAGGATTTTAAGAAATATTTCAGTCTGTGGTCAAATATATTTTGGAAACTTTGGGTTAGACAAGGCCAAATAAATGTGTGTACTACATGATTTGTCAGCCCTTTCAGTGTACCAATTATGAATTTTTAGCGGAGTGGTAGGGAGAGCAGTTCCTGAAAAACTTACTTGGTTTTAGAACCCTTTCTTGGGAAGATACCATGTGACCTTGGATGTGATGTGCTGGGAAGTTCCACATAGAGATTGCTTAAGACCCCCTGAGTACTCAATGTATTTTTCTTGATTTGGAGCCACAACTTTTTAAATTCCAGAACCATCTATAAGATGAGAAGACTTCAAAAAGTTCATAAGAAAATGGAATTAAAAGACAAAAATTAAAATATAAACTTTGTTTCTCAACATAAGCTCCATCAAGTTCTAGACACTTTTGTAATGATGATACCGGCTATTTAATCCATCCTTAAAGAACTAAGAGTCTGAGAAATTTAACCATGTCAATGTCATCTTTTTTTACATTATTAACTGAAGAAAAATGGGTGCTCTTTAAAGATTTTTGAAGATTAGGAAACAAAAAGAAGTCAAA